GTTGCCCTCTAGACATGGACAGTGTCCAGGGAAAGTAATGTTTTGTTTCCCGTCAGAATCAACGTAATCTTGTCGGATCATGTACACCTAAGGCATCTGTCGGACGAGTATCAGTCAATACTATCGGTCGATGTGTCGACCAAGTGTGGGTCGATATATCGGTTGACACTTGATTGACATATCGACCAAGTATGTTGACATGTCGACTGACATCGGTCGCCTCTCGATTGACACGCATGTCTGACGATACTCTGTCCGCACTTGGCTGATACTTTACTGACACTTTTAATTAGACACTACTGTCACTTGGTGGCTCCTGTTATTGAGTTGCAGCTTCTCTATTCAAATATTAACTTATTTTCTCTAGCCCTTCGAAAATTTCCCTTCGCGTCCCCAATAGGCATAGAGACAACTGCCATTCCAGCAAAACAGTGGTGAACAATGCACGTATACCACCGACAATCCATCGATACACCACCGACACTCGACCGATACGCTGCCGACTATTCAACGTAACGGTCGAGGTGTCGGCCGAGTGTCGATCGACAAACCTACCAAATATTGATCGATAGTGGTCGTCGGTTGTCTACCAACTTGAATAACGTGGCGACTGACAGTCGATTGACATGTCGACGGGATAACGATCGACCATAGGTCGACATGTCGACCGATAATATCGGTCAATACTCGGCCGACGAATGCCTTAGGTACGCATAATCCGTCTACTCTACATTCAATTAGTCACGTCAGAGGGCATCGTAGAGCTTCAGGGATGTCCATGTATCAAAAAAATATAAAATATTTAATATAGAATATTAATCCAAATTAGTTGGCTTGTCTTTGCAGCGAACGACATTTTTAATTCTTGTACTTCGTAACAGTTTAAAACAACTTTTGGTTCACATTTTATGTCTTTCAAAACAGAAAGGAAGTGTGGAGCCAAGGAAGGATCCAGTTTGCATTCTACAGAACCTCCTGGGACCTCTCACTGAATTGATTGTCTCAGTCATTTGACTGAGTTGACCAATGTTGTTTTGAGATTGAATTTCCTTATGTGGCCTTCGAGATTAAGTTAAGATTCGTTGGCAATTTATTTAAATTATTTAAGACTTTGGGTCGGTTAATCGTAAGAGATTGTATTGAACTCGTCAGGTTATAAAGTTAATTTCCTCGAAAATCAAATTTATGTTGTCGAGGACGAAAAAAAAACATTTCTCTTCTTGGTATTTACTGCGATAGACTATGGTTAAAGATAAAATTTTCAGTTGATGCCGTTAATGACAATAAAATTTGTTTTAAAACCAGCTCAAGATGTCTGCTCTCTCGTATGACAAGTTTAGTTTACAATACACAAACAACATGCGACCCTGTCATAGCAAGAACTTAAACTTAAGCAGAGGATTTCACTCTCTGCTTAGTCTTGGATAGCCTTTTCCGTCCGCGTTTTTAAACAGATTTCTCGTCTGAGCTCAACTCTTAAGTTCTTTTTTCGTTTACACTGGCTACTATTACCTGCATCTAACGGGCAGTGTTTGCATTACAACACCTTTTACTAGCAGCCATAGCAGAAGGTGAAAACAAAGACGTCTGTCCAATTCTCGGTTAAGTCAGCATGGATGGTTGCGATGCTTGGAAAAACACAAGGCGCGCAACAAGGCGTGCAACTTCCAGGAGGGTGTGAATGGGGTTAACCGACTAGCGACAAAGGGCGTAAAAAATTACCGACTAGCGACAAATAAATTCTAACCGACAACCGACATGGTCAG